GATACATAATGATGTCCTTATGCTGTGTAGAAAATTTGAGCTGATCGTGGCTTCATTTTTTTGATTTATGGGCATTTTAAAAATATTAAAATTCTGAAAAATACCCAAGGCCTATCATTGTCTTGGGTTTTTTCCAAAAATGGCTCCAAAATCACCCCAAATTTTTATTACATTTTTTGGCGCATATTGATGTCCTTATGTTGCAAAGAAAGTTTGAGCTAAGTCAGGTCTTTTATGAATTTCTTGAAGTTGATGCAAAAATGGGTAAAAGTCTTTGTGCAATTATAGTACATGGCTCACACTAAATGCCAAAAATGGCTATAATGTATGCATGTATGTATAATTATGTGTACATTTTTTATGTAGAAAGCTTCAGATTTGGTTTGTGAGGCCAACAGGAGAGGAGAGACGTTCTTCAAACCATACGTAAGCGCTTGGACTCCCAATTATTCCTTTTTCATTTTATTTTATATTTCAGGAGCTCACCTCGTCTCTGAAGAAAAACTTGGAAGCCATAGAAAAAGACAATAATTTCATATATAATGATCGTGTTCCTGATTTTGGGACTCTTGAGCGTCCTGGTAAAGCCTCCATTGCTAAGGTGATACAGTTTCAGTCCCCAGCCTCAAACTTCCTTGATTTATTTACTAATCTTGTTCCTCTACCTATCAGTCATGCTATGTCCAATTATAATAGCAAGAAGGATGCACTTGTCAGTGAGGAGCTTGAGAAACTGAGGAACACAACATCTTCCTTGAACGAGTGAGTCTTGAACAATGTAGGGCCTTTGTTATTTTTTTCATTACTTTGTATTTGAAAATTATTCAAATATTTGTAATCTAAATTCCTACCAATTTAGCTCTTTTGTGCTCTTTATTTAGAAACCTTGCTAGTAACAATCTTCCAACTGCCATTGAAGACACTGGCAGTAATGCTGTGCCTGACTCCATTAAAGAGAAGAGTCAAGGGATTCGTGAGCAAGGAGGGATACAATCACTGGAAGATAAACTTTATTGACTACCTGAACTGCTAACAAGGAACAGAGAGATACTTGATGAGGTATGTTACATATTTATACATGTATTACATGGACAATTGTACATACATGTACATGTACATGAATCATGTATCATGTATATTTATTTGCACTATTGCAGAGTCTTTTGGCCTGATTTATTAGCAACTTTAAAAATTCATAAAAAATCCAATTTTGATCAGAATCAACTCAAACTTTCTATACAGCATAAGTACATGTATATGTATCAGAAAAAATATAAAAATAGATAATTCTTTCCTCATCA